AGGGCGTGTTGCTCTATTACCACTAAGTTTTTATGGTGACAATATAAATTTTGGAGGAACGGATATCATGTCCCTCCAACACAAAGGGAGGATCCTCCGACCAGGCGAGGTGAACATGCTTGGCGGGCCGTGGCCCAACGGCTGATGTTGAAAGTTTCTTATATTACATTATAATTATTTATATCGCGATAAAGGATTAGCAGTTAATCTGTGGTTAGACGCGTCTTCGTCGCTGTAGTTTGTTTTTGTTACTCTGCCTATGGAAGTTGCCACAAAATAAACAATCTGTAAAATTTACAACTTGCTATTTATTACACACAGACGCGGAAGCCGGAAATATTACGTTTCTTGTGTAGGGTTCGACGACCTAAAAATGAGTAGTTCTCTATGGGTTTCATAGTTCTAACTAGAAACCTTATGGTTTCATCATGTTCGTCTGTCTGCCCATCCCTCCGTCCCTAGCTTAGCTGAGTTAGTAGGTAGCATAGGTAGTATTCATTGCGAAAGATTAAACTTGACCGATTCTTGTATGTACATACATATCTCTTAATACTTAACACAAATTATTTAAAACAATGTATATGACAGGCCAGCTAGAGATCGTGGTTTAAATTCCTACCCAGGACAAATAATTGTATAATGCGCATTATCAATTTGTTCTGTCTGGGTGTTATTTTTCTATTATATATACCTAGATATTTAGAAAGATATAAGTATGTTTATCAGCCGCTTCCTAGATTGGGCACACGCTCTTCCTAGATTGAGTCTTGTATGAGACGCGTGACGCGTTGCATAGGGGGGCGTTGTAATACATGACGGCAACGCACTCGTGACACGAGTTGCAGGTCTATGTGCGACATGTCTGCTCGTTTGCCAAACTATAATATAACTTTGTTTATTATTATACTATATTAGAACCTTGTAAATTGAGAGCAGTATCTGTAGGTTTTTGTTTAGCTCCTCTATGCCGATTACTGGTTTTAAACCAATGTGTTATCTTCTTTTTATTTCACTTACTTCCTTTCACATACACTAGGCATACATCACCAGGGCTGCCACTAAATATATTTTTATTATGTCATTATAGTAACATCTATTGATCGCTTTACGAAAATAAATGCAAACGTTTTTAGGCTTGCATTACTTTATGTGTAATTTCAACCACTAGAAACGCGGGCACGGGATACCAAATATATATAACCTATACCTGGTGGTGATGATTTTACGTTCAGGACATTTTGGGGCGGCTTAACTCTGGCACGCCGTTATTGTGGCGGTAAGACCCGTTATGGAGGATTGGCTCGAGAGGAAACACGGGACGCAAAGGATGCATGTTAAAGGATTTTATTTCTGATCGAGTTCTTTTTATCCTTATTTAAATGTGTTTAGGATTCATACTAATGAATCTGAAGTACCTAGTGGTACTTTATTTATTTTAAACATAATGCACATATTGTACAAAGGCGGACTTAAGGCATTCTCTCCCAGTCAACCTTCAGGTGATGTAGAAATATGATGCGGTAGGTGCAAAATAAAATATGATATTAACATAATTTAGGTCCAGAAACATACACAATATAAAAACACACATGCATACATAAACCTACATAAATTTAATAAAATATATAAATACTCAGTTGGGAACTAGAGCTGTAACTATTTCGCCAATTCACCCCGAAGAAGATCGCGCACTTTTCTCTTGAATGCAAGGCGATTTGTTGACATCCTGATTTCGGCAGGGAGGGCATTCCAGAGGAGAACTGACTGGACGTAGAAGGAGGAGTTGATGAAGTTAGAGGTGTGAGGGGGGCATAGAAGAAGCATATTGTTGGTTGATCGAAGTTTTCGATCGTGATTGAAGCATAGGAAACGGAAGTGGGGTACGAGGTATTCAGGTAACGATGGAGAGTTGAGGAAAGAAAAGAGAGAAGTCAGTGCTCGTAAACTGCGGCGCTGACGAATTGGGAGCCATTGCAGCTGGGAACGTAAAGCAGACGTATTTAGATACAATTGTTCCGCTGCAAGTCTTGGCATAACAAGCAGGAACGCCGCAGCATGTCGTGTCATGCTATTTCATTCGACAGATTGCCGCGGCGTGCCACTGCGTCCCGCGAGTCACATAGTTAATATTATGACAGCTAATCAAGTAGAAATAAGGTTTAAACCAGATGTGGCGGTGTTGTCGGCAAATCGCCCTTCTGACCCATCACCCTACCAAATTACACTACCAGCTATAGTCGAACGAATCGGTTGCACTACTACAAGCACGCGGGGCATGTGTGCGTGACCACTGGCCGCTTTTCACGTACGCGGCGAGACTGGACAAAACCGGTTTACGCTGGCACAGTCAGTGGACAATCTTAGGGTCTTGTCAGTCTGTCTATTTCAATGTAAAAACGCGGTATTCTTCGTCTAGAAGAGGTTGGCTAGGTGAGCCAACCAAGTTCTTTCCAGAAGTGCAGAAGACTTCTGGGGCGTTCACAGACTTCTAGGAGCGATTTTGTACCAGGTATGGTACTTGCCCGTTGTGTGGACTGTCCGTCGCAATTAATGGTAATTAGTTGTCGGTTTAGGGCTAGGTGTCCTATTATGGTTCCTACAACTATTCGGATAAAGATTGTTAAGTATAAGTCTGCTAAGATTGATCAGTCTGCAAGTAAGTCGTGGTGAGACTTCAGTCAGCACCAGTTTGGACTGTCTGCAGCCGGGTGAGGTTTTCCACATTCGGTTGTGCGCTTTACGAGTACGCTGTCCAACCCAGGACCAAAGTTGGTTAAAAGGCAGTGGCGGGAGTTTGGTTAGGCCGGTGGCCAGGAGAATGACGCTGCAGATGATTTAGCAAGAAGGGGTCCTTGCTAAATCATCTGCAGCGTCATTCTCGTGTGAACTACTGTGCTTTTTAATCCATTGGAGGAGTACCCCATTTGTTGTGGCAAACTGCTCCACTGCTTGATGCCGTTCGAAGACAATATCAGTACTGTGTGTAAATAATACTAGAAAAAATAAAAATATATCTGACTTTAACTATACCCAGGAGTAAAATAGGTAAGTAAATATTTGATTATTACTTTTTCAAGCAAGTAGAATAGAATAATCTTTATTGTACACCAATTCAGGATTATACATACAATAGTATTCCAAGTAAATGGCCATGTACAAGGATTACAAGGATTTTAATTATGGTAACGTACAATTGGGTTTTTATTTATACCTCCTGATAATTTTATTGCATTTGTTGAATTGCTCGAGCAAAAGATTCGCGAATATTTCGATCTTGAAATAATTATTGATAATGTTTGCAACAAAATACTTAAACGGATTAGATTGTAAATTTGATAAGCCATGTGAGTGTTTCCTGTTAGATTACTTTGAAAAAACTTTGTTAGATTCAGAATTTACGACACCATAAGAAACTATAAATTTAAAACTATAAATGATTAAAACACAAAAATTATAGAAAGGAAATTATTAGAGTAAGTAATTTGTAAAGTATTCTATAGGTAATACTGAATAATAACTATTTAATAAATGTTTTGTTTAATTTGTCTTCACCTATTGTGACAACCCTACCAAAATAGGTAACAACTTTGCACGCACGCACACACAGAATATTTTCAGAATTAGCCCCGTATATTCAAGCTAGTGCAATTTATTATAAAACTAAATTATACGTCCATAATTTCATATTATACAATTTAGAAAATAAGGAAGTACCTAATGTGTTATTGTCAAAGTCAAATAAGCACGTTTGCTGCCTCTGTTTTTACTTCATGCTTATTAGACCAGAAATGATGCCCGTGATTTTATATTCCGATGGTTGTTGTGCTCAAAATCGCAATGTTACCTTAAGCAATGCAATTTCGTTTAGCGATTGAAAAAATATTGATTTCTCAAAAATACCTGGAAAAAGGCCATACCCACATGGAATGTGATTCCGTACACAGTGCAAGAGTGTAAATTAAAAGGTAAAGAAATTTACTTTCCACAACAATACATGGCTATAACTAAAACTGCTAGGAGTGATCCTATGCCTTACGAAGCTTATTATTTGGACTATACATTTTTTACCGACTTTGCAAAAGAATCAGTTTATTAATCTAAACGTCATGGTTAAAACGCAGGTGACCCAGTCGTCACAGATGTGCGTATGCTAGAATACAGACCAAGTGGCACAATTTGGAATAAAATTGGTTTTGATGACGAGCTTCAGCCGTTAAAACATCGTCCCACGCCAATTAACAGCATTGAACAAATAAAACACCTGCAGAAATTGTATGCAGCTAGAATACAAATTACAAAGCGGAAGTATGAAGATTTGCAAGACCTAAAAAGTATATTACCATCTAGTTGAAAACATTATGTGGATTTTTTTTGTAGAAATTGACATTTCCACAAACAACACCACCTTAATCTAATAAAATATCAAGCAGAAAAACAGCTCGTCATAAAATAAAAGTCAAAATATAGTAAATCGTCAAAATAAGTAAAAATAATTATATCTTAACCGCTAACTAGGGTATTTATTAAGTAATAACAGAAAAATTCAACAACAAAAATATTTTAAACAGACAGTTTTTTTCGTCTCCTGTAAAGTTGGTAAAAATGACTTATGCGGTGTAGTTAGCTAAGGGACGAAATTTATCCATGTTTGCCTACCTCTCTCAGCATACAGGACTAAGCATTCGTATGCATGTGTATACATACTGTAACTGGTAGCAGTAGAAACAAATTGGTGTTCAAGTTATCCTTAAGATGACCAGCCCTTTATTAAAGACATGGAAAGTATTCAATGTCTTGACTTTACACCTATTTTCTTAAATATTTTTTGATCAGCAAGTTTCACTTCCACAATGCTTTAAAAAAAGAGATTAGAAATTGAATATATTATTCTAATTTTACCAGAACATAGGCAAAAAAAACGGCTTATTTATTGCAAACAAATATTAGTTTATTTTTAATCAAAATAAAGCTATAAATACACTATTTTACATAAGTCTTCCTTACACAGTACCAGGTGCAAATAATTTAACTCCTCTATCAAACAATTTGAATAGGTATCGAGACATCTTCATGTCCATTGTATACAAATGATCTGTATCAAACTTCAAACTTGGATATTTAATTGTTAGGTGCCCTGAAACATCTGCGCTCAAGCCAGATGGCAAGTTTTCAACCTCTAAAACAGTGTGTGCTTTGTGGCACAGAAGATTTGACATAACACTTGTGACATCATCTTCATTAGCCTTGTGACAGTGGAGAACTATGAATGAGTTGTTGCCACCAGTAACTAACTCAATCAACTCTTTACAAAATCTATTTATTTGTTGCACTGAATAATTCAAGTCAAATAAATGTGTAACACCATCCATGATAACATTGACTTCATCATTCTTCTGCTGCATGGAGGTTATCCTTTCTCTCACTTTATGAAATAATTCTGGCAAAGAGTTTTCGGACAGCAAATTGTGTACACAATGATCTCCTAAACTGTGGAAATCAACAAGTCCAGAGTCCACATGCTTTTGTAAATTGTAATTCATTCGAAGGCCTACATTTTGGTAATGTTGAAAAGAATTATGAGTTGAAAGCACACATAAAGCAGCTTTTTTCTTGATACAATGATTAAGAACACAACTAGTAACAAAGGAGCTGTCACATCTGTTTATTTCTTTTACAACAACTACTCTACTTGATAAAGTTCTATCCAATTGAAGCAATGCTATGATATCTGATGACATCCTGTAACGTTTAAGCCAAAATTAAACTAAGCGTACATTAAACACTCAAATTCACACAATACTTTCGGGTGATTAGAAACTATAGTTCCAGTTTGTTACTCAACGACGGACGATAAGCGTCGTTCAGTCACTTGGCACGTAATGGTTACTTTAGACTCGCCGCGCGAGCACATGAACGATTTACACCGTGCGACCGCAGTCCATACTTGTTAGTTTTCCGGTAATACAGCGTTACTCAAGAAATATTATGTAATCAATACTACTACAATAAACATTTATTTAATTAGTATTACGTGGAGAGTGAGTGAACTAGTTGTTTCGACCGAGTTCAATTTAAGTGAAATTAAAAAGTAAGTACCTTATAGCAGAAGTAACTACACTTTTAATTTACAATGGAAAGGTAAATAGGTATAGGTACTTGATAGGTACAGGAAAACAGGAAACTGTCAGTTAATGAAAATATTACAGCCTTGACAAATGACCGTTTTGAAGGTTATTTGCATGACTACGTTTTGGTGGTACCTAGTTTATGGTTTCTCGGCTGGTTATGTATTTTACTGTTAGTTCAAAATTAGAGAAACAACGTTTTTAAAAATGATATTCTTAGAAATGTTGTTTCCAATGAGATTTATAAAACAACTGTGGTTAATTCGTTTTTAAACTCCACTGTTGGGATAGTCATTATTTCAAGATGTAACTAAATTACTTTGATGGTCAAATTTATTTAATCGTTAATTTTGTCGCATCTCGCTTTCAACATGTATATTTAAAATGTTGTGATAATCAACGAAACTCTTAAAATGTATTTCTCTTAAAAAAATTCAAATTAAAAACGTTGGCGGTTTTGAGTCTACTTATATCTCTTCGTACTCTATTATACTTATAAAAATAATAGTAGAAGTAGTACTAAAGTAGTAGAATACTTCTAGATGTTACGTATACACCATCGATACGATGTGTTCGTAATACACCATCTAGTTATTTGAGTAATAATTCTGGAACTAAAGGCCGTTAAAATGGATTGCTATTAAAGAAATTTAATTTGATCGTGACCTAGATAGACAGTTTAAATCTTAATTTATGACTACTAATAGGCTTCCTGACACAATGGACAGCGGAGAGCAGTGATTCGGGTCAAATAATTAACATTTCTTTCAATATTAAGTCATCTTAGACTGTGTAATATGTGTGTTATTCGATTTAATAGTATGATTCTGCTTTGTAAACTATTCCCTCATTTTAGGAAAATGATTTAAACCTAAAACTACAAGTAATTGTTTGCGAGAACTGTAAAAAAATATTTCAATCATTGCAAACTAGCCTAATAGAGTTCGAAATTCAATCAGTTACATGTTTATTTTCAAGGATTCACTAAACATACAGTATTTTTCCATCCGTCCGTAATTCTGGGATAATTAAGAATAAATGGCGACGGTCAAAAAAAATATTTCTGGGAAATAGAAATGAAGTTCTAGTAGGTAAATATTTTATCTAATGATTAATATAAAAAAATCCTTTAAAGCCTTATTAAAGTCTGACAATAATAACGATCTTTAGCAAAGTCTTGATATCTTTTCTTTCTTTTTTTTTTTAAGACAACTCCCGCATTAGGAATATATACAGACTCAGAACAACAATTTGTGGATCACACAAAGTGTCGTCCCACGTGGGGATTAAACCCACAACACTCAGCGTAGTAGGAAGCGCCGTGGCGACCTCTTAAACCACTAAGCCATCCGTGCAGCCATGATATGTATTGTTAATGAATGTTTAGAACGAGTTGTTTGTTGTCAATTTTATTTTCTTTTATTAATTATTTTGGAACCTTGGCACTTCACTTTATAAATTACTAATTTAGATTAACGGTTTCTGTTAGCCTATTTATGTAATTTTCTTTAAAACTTAAAAACTGATGATAAATATGAGTTTACGTAATGACTGTTTTTTACAATGGACCATGTTGCGCATTGTTGTTTTAGAAATTATGTTAAATTTTTATTTTTAAGGATTTACTAAATGTACAGTGTTATGTATCCTATGTTTTAAGAACGGACGATAACTGATCAGACATTCTGAAAATTCGTAATAATTAAACACACATTATTAAAATTTACATCATCAAAGGGAGGTCTTTTCGGGAAATACTGATACCAACTTAATCAATTTAAAAAATAAATGCGAAATCATTTAACATTTAGAAAGTCCTGTACCTTAACAACCTATCAGGGAAACTTACATGAAAATTTCATGATTTTATATTGATAGTTTGATTGATTGATAGATTGATAGAAAATGTATGAGTATTTTTAATCATACATACTTTTTAATATTTTGTTCACTAAGGTAGTTTTCACTGTCAATATCGTAACTACTACAACGTTGAAGCATCCTCGTCGAGGAGTGATAACATCACGGACTGTGACTGTGACAAAATGCCTGTATTTATAACGTTTAACTGATCTTTTGGGTGTGAGATCACTCCTAAAAACTATAGTAATATTAACTTAAACTTCCTCCACTTCTGCAAACTAATATTCAGGTTACTTAAAAAAATGTTACAAACAGTTTAAAAACTAAATATCGAGATTTCAATAAGACTATTGGTTATTAACATCCCTATTAGAATTTTTTAAATATGTCATTCCTGTCCAGTGTTGCCGTTCTAGCGACAAAACCCCTAGATCTAGGGCACTTTAAGAATATTTAGGGAGATTTTTTTTGTTTTAGCGGTTAATATATTTTTAGCGATTTTTAGGGACTTTAAGACTAATCAAAATGACGCTAAGTCATCCTTAAGCTAGCACCCCTAAGCTTAAACTAAAGACTTGTCTAATCTCAAAACACAACCGAATCGTGCCTTTTGGTTTCCTAAGTTGGCAAATCAGGTTATGATTTATTGCAAAAGGGAATTCCCCTACCATAGACAATAACACACATTGGTATAGATTTTTCTGGTTCGCAGTTAACAAGAGAGAGAGGTCAAAGGTTACGTTGGTACACTGTTTTGAAAGAATTAAACTATTTCGTTGCGTCCATCAAAGTTTCGTTGTTGTTTGCATAGTTGAAAGTTGATATAATAATTTCTTATTCTACGAGTTGAAATTAAGGAAACATGGAAGCTTGGTTAAAAAATGTAAGTTAAAAGGTATATTACAGAAAATAATGGGAAAATGCCGAGGAGTTCAAACATTGGTTAAAACCTATACCTGGTGACTGAATGAAAGCATTTTGTAGCTATTGCCACTTAGAACTGTATACAAAACTGAATGATTTGAAGAAGCATTTAGAAACTAAAAAACATAAAGCTAAAAGTGAATTGATTTCAAAAAATAAGCAAAGACATTATTCACAGGATCGGTGAAAACTTGTAAGCCATTAGCAAGAGTTGAGTGTACCTTAGCTTTGTATATTACCGGAAAGATCGACTGCCGCTATGTATTCTAGCAGATTTTAGGGGAACGGTTTTTTTCTAATCTAGAGGAATTTTAGAAACCAGCTAGCGACTTTTATTTTTGTTCAACGGCAACACTGTTCCTGTCACTTGTAAAAATATAATGTGTCAAAATCTCATGTCGACAACATCATATTCAAAATTTCCAATTCAATCATATTTAATTTGGTCAAATGTAGGAGGAAGATTTCTACAAAAGAAAAAAAATGTCCAATATGGATTCAAAGTTAAATATTTGAATCTGTCTTACTAAAAATTTGTTATTTTTGGGCTCTTAATTTTTTACTTTTGGGACATGTAATTAGTTAAATAACGAAGTAGCCCCCATGAGAGACAGGATTAAAATTAAAAAAAAAGGTTGTTTTCAATTACTTTAATGTTTTTTGGTACCTTACACTAGCTTTTTATTCACCAAATACCCATAACCAATTTGTGATTTGAATAACTGACTCGAATTAAAATATTTTGATTCGAGTCAGTTGCATTTAAATCAAACGCACAATTTTCCCAAGAGAAAATTTCTTTTGAATCTAATATTATAGTTTTATACAGGAGCTGGATGCGAGAAGCCCAAAATCGATCTAAGTGGCGTGCAATGGGAGAGGCCTATGTCCAGCAGTGGACTGCGATAGGCTGATGATGATGATGATACAGACCTAGACCATTGCAAATTGCCTTACAATACACAATTTTGTAATGCCTTTTTCTTTTCAGACTGGGATGGGTACTGAGATTAGACAATCAAAATGGTACTTTGGTGGATTGGCATCAGCAGGAGCAGCATGTGTTACACATCCTTTGGATTTATTGAAAGTTCAAATGCAAACTCAACGCGGAAAAAATGTATCAATGATGGCCCTAGTGTCAAATGTTATAAAACAACAGGGTAAATAAATATAATCTATATGTTCACTCACTCTTAATTAGAAATATGAGAACTGTCTATTCCAAGAATCAGAACACAATAACATTATATCCCAACAACAAAACATATATAATTTATTTGTTAGAGGGGAAAGCTTTGCATTATGTGTACATTACAGAATATTTCATTGATTCCATCTAGAGCAGGCTGTATGAATGACCATACACAATTTTGGAAAACAAAATAGCTTATAAACATTGCAGCATATATATGTATATAACTAGACACTATTTTATTTTTGTTCATTAAAATATAACAAATAGCATTACTGTTGTTAATGTTATTATGTAGGTGTGGATATGCTATATACATAAAAATATATTAATAGCAACTCTTGAAAATTAAGAACGAAGGATATGAAATAAGTATCTAGGAAAAATGGCATATTGGGTATAATAGGAATATGTTTTATAATGTCCAATTAAAAAGGTATCTCTTTTAGTTAAACATCATCATCAAAACCTAATAAAACATACTCATACATGCATTATACTAGTGCTACAGGTTGAGGGCTTGGGAAATATTTTAAAGTCACATTTGAGCACTGCTATACCTCACACTTTCACGAAGCGGCACATAATACCAGCCGCACCAACTGAATATTCTATTTGCCACTAGTACAAGATGTATATAAAAGTTGATAATATTTACTGATTTAGAACCAAAAATACCTACTTGTCTACCTAACTCTATTTTCTAGGTATTATGGGCCTGTATAATGGAATATCAGCTTCCTTGATGCGCCAGCTTACCTATTCAACAGCAAGATTTGGCATATATGAGATGGCTAAACAGCAATTTGCCCCTAAAGATGTAAGTAACCAAATTTTTTGATGTGATACCAAAACTTATTTTTGTACTGACAAAAATAGTTACATTCTTATTTAAATGTATGTATGTTAATCTTAAAAAATTAATAAAACTTACCGTGGGAGAGGCATGCTTCGGCACAAATGGACTGGCTCGACCGGAGTAATACCACAGCCTCACAAAACCGGTGTTAAAGCAATTCTTTTGTTGCCTTTCATTGAGTGAGTGAGTGAGGTTACGGTAACCTGGTTACCGGAGCCCAAATCCCCCCACTGACTCGAGCGGGAGGGACTCCAAGGGCAGCAACGCACGCACTTGTGACTTTTGAGTTGCAGGAGTCCATGGGCGGCTATAGTTCCGTACCATCAGGTGACACGTCTGCTCGTTTGCCCCTTATACAATAAATTTTTATTGCCAAAAACACTACAGCTGAATCAATTTGTTATTGTAATTTTGTCTGTGACCTAAAACCTACACATATAAATAAAATTGTGTTAAAGAAAATCTAATATGGTTGTTTGCACGATACTAAGCCAATAGGCTCAGTTGGCTAAGAAATTTAATCAAGAGATGCTGGTCGAAGGTATTTACATTCACATCACATCACATCAACAGCCTTTAATAGTCCACTGCTGAACATAGGCCTCTCCTTAGAAAGGAGGTTTTGGCCTACTATACCACGCTGGCCAGACGGGTTGGTATAGGGTTTGTGTCAAATTTTCCTTCTCTCTGCAGTGCTGTTGTCCTGCGTGGTTTGCTCCCTTAGTTGCCTCTTACGACACCCACGGGATGAATAGGGGTGGTGACACTCTGTATTCTTAATCCGTCACCACACGGACCACGGACGGTATTTACATTAACTGTCGAAAATGAAGCCTCGCTATTAGGCACCCAACGGATATTGCTCATGTTGAAATCACCTACAATAATAAATTCATAACACTTAGATTTCAATTATTATTAATATTTTAAAGACACCCCGGCAGAACTAGCTTAACACAAAGAAAAAGGAAGTGAAAAAATACATTAATAAATGTATTTTTTTCAAAACACTGGCCGGTTACAATACTTTTTTTTAATTTTAGGTCTAATTTGTAAACGGAACATTAGTCGACGGTCATTTTTTTCATTCGTTTGTTTTAATTTTTCATTCATAGGTACATCTCTATCGACTGCTTCGAAGTTGATTTTCTGTTTTCGTAAATTTCATTTGAAAAATATTGTATTGCAGTTTTATGAGGCTTTTGTGTTTTCTCGCACATTGATCAGTTACGAACGTTAAAGTATGCCTGATTTAACGCCATCAGAAATCATTAGGGCAGATGAAATGAGAAGAAATGGTCAATCCTACAGATCGATGGCTACAAGACTTTGTCGATCGTTATCAACGATTCATCGTAGCATGCAACGGTACAGATTGACGAATTCTCTAGTAAGGAGGAAAGGACAAGGCAGGAAAAGGTGTACTTCAAGGAGCGATGACCGTTTTCTACAGTTTCAAGTTCGTCGGAACACGAGTCCAACGGCGGTGCAGGCCCGAAATGTATTGGAGGAGGTTCGAGGAGTAAGAGTGAGTTCGCGTGAGAGCGGACAGTTCGCAGAAGATTCAAGGAAGTCGGTATAGGCTCATTTTTGCCCGTCAAAGCACCAAAACTTGAGAGACACCACTGCGCAAACCGACAAGATTTTGCTCGTGAACATCGTCATTGGGACTTCGACGAGTGGGATCAGGTTCTCTTCACTGATGATACAGAATTCTGTTAAATCCGATTGATGGAAGGCAGCGAGTATGGAGACGCAAAGGATAGCGTTAAATCATCCGTTACGTCAATTTTGAAAACACAGTGGCATATGGCGGCGGCTCAGTTATGGTCTGGGGAGAGATATGTTTAGGAGCTCACACGGAGTTGGTGGTAGTCGACGGCGGGAATCAGACTGCTGATCGGTATATAAGGGAGATTTTAGAAGAACATGTTGTGCCATTTGCCCCCTTTATTGGCAACGACTTCATTCTAATGCAGGATCATCGGGCTCACAGTGCTCGCTCAGTACAGGCATACCTAAACTATGTTGGTGTAACGGTTATATCCGGTGACCGTGCTGGCCGGAGTGGCCAGTCACCGGATATGAATCCAATTGAACACATGTGGGACTTGCTAAAGAGGACTGTCAAATCAAGAATGCCTCCTTCCTACAATCTGAGCGAGTTGCGAAACGCATTACTTAAAGAATGGCAGAGGTTGCCCCAAGAAATCATTGACAACATCATCCGCAGCATGCCCAGACAGATGTAAACAATAATCAGAGCACGGGGGGAAACACTCGATGGTAAACATTCATTTAATTAATTGTAAATCGTCAAAAAATCTTAAATTTTTAACTTTCTCTGTCATTTAATCTAAGAAAAATGCATTTTGTTTACTTTTTTTTTCATTAAACTAAGTATGGTGTTGCAAATTAATGTCAAAACATGTTAATTTATTTGTTGTTTCATGTTCAATTATTATCTGTTTGAAAATAAAATGAACTATTTTATATTCCCCAATATTTTTGTGTACCGCTAATTCTGCCTTCGTGTGTATTTTCTTTGTAGGCGCAGTAATACTGTTAAGTTTTTCAAAATTGATTTTTTTTAGGCCGTATGGCTTGGAGATCTGACATACAGGTTTCGAGCCTAGTATAGACTTCATATCTCACTAAGGAACTCATTTAAATGATTACTTTTGTATAAGTTTTGTCTATAACCTACTTGAATATAGACAAGTGTTAGAGTTCCGGATTATGATTCAGTAGCTACCTGATGGATTTCACAGAACTATTCATATTCTTTCACTTTTCTGTATTACTGTTTATTTTCTACTAGCTGACCCTGCAAACGTTGTTTTGCTATTTTCATTATTTAATTATTATTTTTTTGATTTTCTTAAAATCCTTCTTAGCTGACCTCTAATCGTTGAAAAGAATATTCCTACCAAATTTCAAGTCTTTTAATGGTTCCAGAGATATCGTGATGAGTGACTATATACGTGGAAATCTCTTATATATATATATATATATATATATATATATATATAGATTTGCTATATCTTGAAATACTTTCTAGTATTTCAACTAGATTCCCAGAAAAAAATCAAGGTTTAACGGAAAACTAAACTAAGCACACGTGAAGAAGTTTACTAAATTTTAGAAAAAATAATCACGATACACTCTTTTTTATTTTAGAATGTGTTAACTAACCAGTTAAGTATTTGTTTTTGCGTGAGACATGCTAATATGTGTCATATGGTTCAGTATTTATTTGTGTTTTTTAATTATAAATGTAATACGAAACTCAGTAACCTACTGTATCTTATGAGTTATGAGAGTTATAAAGTTATTATTGTCAACTTCATCATGTATATAACATGATAAAGTTGCTCATTTCTTCTTGTTTCCACGGACGTGGGAAGTCATGCTATGAACTCTTATTACTATCTTAATATATATAAATCTCCTGTCACGATGTTTGTCCGCGATGGGCTTCTTAACTACTTAACCGATTTTAAATTAAATTGGCACACCGTGAGCAGTCTGGTCCAACTTAAGAGATAGGATAGCTTAGATCTTTAATTATAGTCGCAATTTTATTTTATTGCAAATTATTGATCTATAATTAATTGACAGTCACAATTACCTATCTGTTAACTCCAAAAGATTCTAACAGATGTCGATACTTTTTGACTGGATTGAGTAAGTAATAAATAGATGGCACTGCTAGGGTAAACCGACAAACGTGTCATATAAGCTACAATTCAATATCAAACGCGGGTAACACCGCGGGTCTCAGCTAGTAATTATATTATTTTTGAGATCGATTTTAATAAGTTCACAATCCAAGAGTTCCATGTCCTCAGACTCTTATTATTAACTAATATATTATTCTTTTCAGGGTAAACCAATGGGATTTTTGACATCTTCGCTTTTAGCCGGACTAGGTGGTTTTGCCGGAGGTCTAGTTGGTAGTCCAGCGGATTTAGTTAACGTGCGAATGCAAAACGATATTAAGCTTCCCCCTGAGCAAAGAAGAAAGTAAGTTATCAATATATATAGGTATATATAACGCGGACCGTATAGCGACAAAAACAAATGTATGAAAAAGTACTGAGTAGTAGAGTAGAGTAGAGAGGGTAGATATAACAGTGGAACAACTAAATAGTTTCATTGTACACGCCACGCCACTATTGCAGAGATATTAGCTAGACCAGCTATGAAAGTCTAGTCTTCCATAACATAAATATAAACAAGTAGTGAAGAGATTATGGCCAGAAACAAACTTACAATTTCAATTTTTATTTAAATCTTGAACTCCTTCCAAACATTATATCTGTTTATTTTATTTATATATCTTAAATATAAGACATATTAAATATCTTGAATAAAAAAACGACTACTCTCCAAACATTATCGAGACAACGTTGATAAAGACATCTTGCTCTCGGTCTGTACTGGTCGCGGCTGCAAACGCAATTGCCTGTGGCGAGCAAACTCTGCTGCGCGTATTGTCGCCCCGCCCGTCCCGTGGCCAGCCCGTAAAGTCTATCGTTCTCTAGGCTATGACCTAGTGGATGTTCTTATGGAATGCGGGGACAAAATCTCTGTATTATCCATCCACCATCCAAAAGTCATCCATCCATTGTTCTGAAAATCACTTCAACTGCTTTGTGGTTAATTGATGATGGCTTAAAATGTTGTTGCGATCGCGTGGTGGTGATTTTAAGCGCAAATGCCTGTGTGTATTTTTTGAAAAGGGAAGAAATCATTCTAACATGAGTGGATGGAATCGCCTGCCTAAGAAGACAAAAAAAGCCACCTGCGGATAAACCACTTTTGTCGCCAATAGTTTGAATTTTGGAAATACAAGTATAAGATCGTTCGACACGAATATAATGTAAACGCTTCGTCCGAATTTATATCTGCCTTATGAGTTCGTCCATCATTATCAGCCTATTGCCGTCGGTGCTGAACGAAGGCCTCCCCATAGTATAGTATTGTAGTGTGTCTAAACACTACAATTGTTTTTCTTGGAGCATCAGCTGTGTCAGGAGAAGGTGTGGTGGTGTCAGGTGGAGGTGTGGTAGTGTCCGTGAGGGTGATGGTATCGTCATTCCTGGTCATGTGTGCTGGTTTGATTCGGTCGATCGTCACAGTCATCTCCTTTCCTTGGACTTCTAATTTAAAGGTTTTAGGACCTTTTTCGAGAACTTTGTAGGGCCCGCAGTATGGCGATTCAAGCGACCCTCGTATAGGACCCAAACGTAAGAACACATAATCAGAGGTAAATATGTCCTTGGGTAAGTAGAAAGTTCTGCTCTTATTGTGAGTACTCGTCTGTACCGGAGACAATCTGCTGACGTGATTGCGAAGACGACTGGCGAAATCTGTGAGGTCTAAAGGTAGGTCATGACGAGGCGGCACGAAAAATTCGCCTGGTAAGCGCAGCGGTTCCCCGTAGACGAGCTCCGCCGCTGAAGTCTTGATGTCCTCTTTCCATGCACTCCTTATTCCCAAGAGTACTAAGGGAAGGATCTCAGACCAGTTTGAGTGGTTGTGGCACATGATTGCTGCCTTCAGTTGTCGGTGCATTCTCTCCACCAATCCGTTGGCGGCTGGATGATAGGCCGTGGTAGGACAATATTTAGCACCAATGAAGCTTGCCATGGACCGAAACAGCTGTGACTCAAATTGCCTTCCGCGATCAGTGGTTATGTTGAGGGGGCAGCCAAAGCGGGCCAGCCAGCCCGACACGAAGGCGCGAGCGCAGGTGTCTGCAGTAATGTCCGTGATTGGGTATACCTCAGGCCAGCGAGTAAAACGGTCGATTGCCGTGAGACAGTACCTGTAACCACGTGATATTGGTAAAGGACCGATTAAATCCAGGTGAACGTGGGAGAATCGTTGGGAAGGGACAGGGAATGTAGCAAGAGGAGAACGGGTATGACGGGTAACTTTATTGCGTTGGCAGTCTGTGCATTCCTTGGCCCAGGCTCTGCAGTCTTTGCGTATGCCAGGCCAGACGAACCGTTGAGCAACCAACTTAGCTGAAGCTGATCTGCCAGGATGGCTCAGTCTTTGGAGACTGAGGAATATCTGCTTCCTGAACGCCGGCGTGACATATGGACGCGGGTTCGACATTGAGAGGTCGCAGTAGAGAGTTGCCTCTGGAGTGGGGACCTTCTGCAGCTTCAGGGAAGTACCGCGGTCGAGAAGGGCTTGTAATTCTGGGTCCGTATCCTGATCCTTTGCGAGTTTCTTGTAATCTACCATGTCGGTGATAGCTACTACTCGCGAAAGACTATCCGCGACTACGTTGTCCTTTCCAGCCACGTGACGGATGTCTGTTGTAAATTGTGCGATATAGTGAAGGTATCGCAGCTGTCTAGGTGAGCAATTGTCGCGTTTAGTAGTGAAGGCAAACGTTATAGGCTTATGGTCGGTGAACACCGAGAATGTTCGCGCCTCAACCATGTAGCGAAAATATTTAATTCCTTCATAAATAGCCAGCATCTCCCTATCATAGGGGCTATAGTTCCTTTGAGCGTCAGTTAGCTTTCTAGAAAAAAATCCTAGTGGTTGCCAGTCTCCTGTGTCAGACCTTTGCTGCAGTACCGCGCCAATGGCTACGTCCGAGGCGTCGGTGAAGATGGCTAGCTCAGCACGACAATTGATGTGAGCCAGAAGCGCTGCTTGTGAAAGGCTCTGCTTGCAGTCTTCAAAGGCGCGTAGAAGCTCTGGGGTCATATTTATAGGCGTCGATCCTTTCATATTGGGACCTGACAATGCTGCGTTGAGCGGGCCTTGAATTCTAGCGGCGTTTGGGACAAATCGTCTATAATAATTTGTCATTCCCAGAAAACGACGAAGCTCTTTTGCGGTTCTTGGTACGGGAAACTCTTGAATGGCCCTCACCTTATCGTCGAGAGGGCGTATACCATTTGAAGACACGTGGTAACCGAGGAATGTGATGTCCGTAGCGCCCAAGATGCACTTAGAGGTATTTATCAGCAATCCATATTTCTTAAGACGGGTAAATACGGCTTCCAGGTGTTCCAGGTGTTCCAGGTGTGACTGGGAAAATACTAAAATGTCGTCAATATATCCGAAAGTATAATCCAGGCCTTGTAATACTTCGTCTATAAAGCGCTGAAATGTCTGCGCCGCATTCCTTAATCCAAAGGTCATGAATGGAAACTCAAAAAGCCCAAAAGGAGTGGTAATGGCTGTTTTCGGGATATCTTCTTCAGCGACGGCGATCTGATTATAGGCTTTGACCAGGTCTATTTTGGAGAACACCTGGACTCCCGAAAGCTGGTAAGCGAAATCGTGTATGTGTCTTATTGGGTACTTATCCGGTATAGTTCTGGCATTAAGGCCACGATAATCACCGCACGGACGCCAACCATCATCTTTTTTCTTACACAGGTGGAGTGGAGACGCCCAGCAGCTCTGTGAACGACGCGCAGTACCATTGGTAAGCATATCTTCAAACTCTTTTCTAGCCACCTGGAGTCTATCTGGAGCTAGACGACGAGGACGTGCTGTGACCGGAGGGCCAGGAGTGGTACGTATGTGATGTAGTGTCTTATTCTTTATCTCTCTAGGAGCACCCGCTGGCCTTGTGATCTCCGGGAATTGGCGTAGGAGATTATGGTAAGGTGAGTCCCCTGTTACAGCCTTTACAGTCACTGACTCTGGAGTAGCCGATGTACTGTAGTGTGGCACATGAACGGAGAGTGAGGTCAATCCATCGATGAGGAGGTGGCGGCGGCAGTCCACGATCAGGTTATAATAACTCAAGAAGTCCACACCTATGATGGGTTTTAAAATGTCGGCCACGATGAATCTCCAGCGGAAATCCCGGCGCAGTCCGAGGTTGAGGCAAAGATCTATGTATCCATATGTATGTATGACGGTGTTATTGGCCGCAAACAATTCGTACTTCGTTATCGGGCGACGCTCCGGGATCGCTGATTTAGGAAAGACGCACAGGTCAGATCCTGTGTCAACAAGAAACTGTACCTTGGTGTTTTTGTCGGTGACGAAGACGCGGCCGGTGTGTGTGTGGCAGTCGTTAGCCGCTACTGTCGGCTGCCGCTGGCGTTTCCCGCAGGTGAGTGTGATGGCTGGAAGCTGCAGGGAGCCAAACACCTGTAAGCTCTATTGCCGAACCTCGCATGATAACGGCATATGCCTCCGTACTTCGAATTAGAACGAGACCGATTCTGGTTTCTACGACGAGATCTCGAGTGTGAGCGAGAGCGCGATAGCTGTGCCTGAAGCGATGCAACTTGCTTAGTAAGCTCTGCAACTTGTTTTGCCATCTCAGTCATGACGTCATTATTTGATTGAGAATTAATTTTTAATGACGCAACTTGTGTGGTGCGGGGTACGCTCGGTACTAGATCGTACACACTATCGGCTAGATCACCAAGGCTTTGTAGCTGAGTTGTTTTCGGTTGCGTTGCTATCACTGTTTGTAAATTATGAGGTAACCTACCAGCCCATAGAGTACGAAGAAAATCATCTGGTACCTTAGGTCCTGCCAGGGAGCGGAGATGTCGGAGAAATGCAGACGGTTTTCGATCTCCCAGTTCTTCGTGAACGAGCAGCTGTTGCACTCGCTGTTCCGCCGATGCAGACAGACGTTTAATTAACTCCGATTTCAGGGTTTCGTATTTATCGGTAGCTGGGGGCGAAGTGATGATATCCTTGACTTCAACGGCGTACTGGTTGTCAAGTTGTGCTATGACGTAATAGAATTTTGTTGCATCTACGGTGATTCCTGATAGTGCGAAGTGTCCTTCGACCTGCGCAAACCAAACTTGAGGCTCTTCTGGCCAGAAGGGGGGTATTCTCACCCCAACTTTGAATAGACCCGCCGAGGATGGGTCTTGAGGATATCCTTGTGGATTTTCTTTTTCCGGTGGCGCCATTGACGTGTTCAAACTTTTCGGGGTCACCAATGAAGTGAATTATACAGGACCGTACCTTCTAGTGTGTAGCCGAGCGATGAATCTCATGAGCAGCAAGTAAAAGTCCCAAGAAGTAGTCTTGTACAGTTTATTATCACTTCACAACACTAACACTAAGTATACAGTTTATATTCACGAGTAAACAATCTATTTACAAGAATATTTTGTACAAAAACATAAACCGCTGTTAATTATTTCTCCTTACGTATCGCACTCCCCAAGCGCGCGACTACTGACTACCCTCCAGTAATTTATCGAAACAGTGTACACCCTAGGCAAGAGGTTTATTTATTTTATACCAGAACAAAAATTTTATTTTGAATGAAGTTAATTTATATTATGATTGTTAACCATACTAATTGGATATAAATAGGTTTTTAGCAATAACAAGAACTTAACAAATATTTTAGGATAAAAATGAAAATTTTAGTGTTTAGACACACTACAGTATAAAATGAAGTCGCTTTTCATTCCTGTACGCTTAGATGTTTAAAACTACTCAACGTATTTTAATGCGGTTTTCAACTATAGAGAGATTGATTCAAGAGGAATGTTTATATGTATAATATATGGATATTATAGTAGAGAATTTCAAAGTGTGCGTCCATATTACGAAATAAAACAAATATCCAGAATTCTCGATTCGACAGGACACGGAGGCGTCTACATATAAGTCAATCAGTAAGGACATCTCCTTTTATAAATATAGATATCCTATTGTAGTCTAATCATAATAATAATATAATTTATTACTTCACATTGACACCACATTAGTATCTACATTTTACCAGTCCGAAGCCGGGGTGGGTCGCTATCACAACTATAAAGCAGAGAAAGGCAGTGGCGGATTAACCCTAAGGCAAAGTAGGCACGTGCCTAGGGGCGCAAGGTTACAAAGAAGCGCGCGCGCAGAATTTTTTACAAAGAAAAATGTATGGCTAACATAAAAAGAACTGTGTCAGTAAGTATGCACATACTTACACAAAATAAAAAAATCCTTAATTCTAAAGATACGCTTAAGGTTGACATCTAGGATTTATATTACGTAATTGCCACTACTTCTTTGCTTTCTTTTTCTGATACCTACGAAGATGGAGGCTATTGCGTGTACACAAAAACGCAGTTTGTTATAACTCACACACACTCACTCAGCACACACGTGTCAACGTACCAGCTGTTACACGCCTCTGGAGGAAAGACTAACATATTCTACAAATGTTGTTAAAAAAAATATTAAAGTAAAAAGTGAAACATATATTGATGTTTTTTTTTGTTTGTTTTACAGCTACAAAAATGCTTTTCATGGAATATATCAAGTAATAAAAACTGAAGGGGTACTCAGACTTTGGACTGGATCCTCAATGAACTGCTCTCGGGCTATGCTTATGACTATTGGACAACTAGCATTTTATGACCAAATTAAAGAAATACTTTTAGTGACTCCTTACTTTAGTGATAATGTTTTCACACACGTCTCTTCTAGTTTATCAGCGGTAAGAAATTTATTAATGACTTATGATCGTTTTTGAATTTAGAGGACAGTCCCGTTAGAGACTGTTAATCTTTGTTAGATGATGTTCTCCTATTTTAATCGTCTTGTTCGGTTAATATTTTTACTAGCAAACACTTGGTGTATAGTTTTTTTTAGAATAGACATTGTTCTTGTTGTTTTCAATACCTGAATATGGATGGTAAGGACGTGATGATGAAGAGTGTCCAGAAATAATAATTAACTTTTAAAAGAGTATCACCGGTTATAGTGCGCGCCTACATCATGATAATTTTTTGCTTTTAATGGTGCTATTTTATCTTTGAATTTGAACAGGACTAAACGAAATGTATACCTGACCAAAAAAAAATGGTTCAAATGCGTTCATAAATAATCGAGTTCTGATGTAACAAACATGAAAAAAATACAACTGAATTGAGTTCCTCCTATTTTTATTAATTAAAAAACAGTTTATTGACAATGAGAATGAATGCATTACGACTGACGGGAACTTGCCACTTTCTAGTGGAGCAATGACTAGTACATCCCTACACTTTTTTAATTAAAAACTTAGATAACAAGAGTGGGAATTAAAACAACACGATTTAACTCATAAGTTACAAACAAATAATATAAATGTCTTCTTTATTACTGATAAAAAGCAACATGAAAATATATATGAATATATATTTTATAGAATAGATGATATATATTTGTTTCGTGAATGTTGAAGTTTTTGTTATAATCTTAATCGCTTTATATTTCAGGGTGCGATAGCCACAACCATGACGCAGCCTGTCGATGTACTCAAAACTCGCGCGATGAACGCCAAGCCTGGAGAAGTAAACAGTATAGCAAAGCTCGTCCTTAGCACTGTTAAGGAGGGTCCTCTTGCATTGTTTAAGGGCTACGTGCCAGCATTTGCCAGGCTCGCGCCTCACACTATACTAACGTTCGTATTTTTAGAACAACTTAGAATGAACTTTGGTGTTATAAAAACTACCAGTAGTCCAAGCACAAAACATTAGATACCATATAGTTTATATGCTGAATGTAGCTAATTAAACCTGTTGCATATTTATTTTACATTAGGACTAGTTAAAGTTGTGTATGTGTTAATATAATCCTGCATACATTGTGTCTAGAATAGGCAAATCTATGACGTTAAATTGTTGTCTTTATGTAGAGACTAGATTCGATATGGTTACGGGTGCCCTCAAATTCTCTACTTTTAAGTCAAAGACTAGAGGAGTGATAGTGAGGTTTGAGGTGACTTGAGATTAATTCCAAGTTTTTAAGACCATACTGTAATATGATGTTTGTAAAAGCTACTATTTGCTTAAAAAAATACTGTAATTGCTGAGATCATTTAACTGTTTAGGATTTTACATTGATGGAAATTTATGATTTTTAGGTATTTAATAAGGTTTCTAAAAAAGTCGAAATATGTTCTTTTTTTACAATCAGAGCATAGATAATTATTTTTTTATGCTTTATTTATAATACAAATGACTAAATTCTTTTACGCGTAATATATAAACAGTATTTCCCCAGTTATCAGTAAGGAAAAGTAAAAAAATAGTTCCGTTCAGAGAGTAGCCGTGGTCGCGTGCTGCATATTTTTTAAGTATGCAGCTAGTTAAATCTACTATCTAAACCTTGATCGTAATTCTTATTTACCAATTTCTGCAAGTGCCATTGAATCCTTTGTTACGTCACATCACCTTTAGCTGGCCGATGATCAAGACGCTTTTAGCGACATTTCATTGATTAAATACTCTTGCTGCTGGGCTTAAATTAGCGATTAATGTATTTCAGTTTCCTATACTTAATATGATTAATTGAAATACTGTCAAGCTCTATTAGAACCTTCGTAACACTATTAGGCTTAGATTTCATAGGTCCTCTATGGAGAGATATTTTGACTATCAACTGTAAAGGTTCGGACATGAATCTCAAAATATTTGTAGTTTTTACGGGCAGATTTATTTGAATAACACTATCACAATCAAATATAATATACGTAATGTATATAATATACGAGTACGTATTCTTAATATCATACGCATTTCGATTAAGAGACAGCGAATATAATATCTGATTGAGAAAAAGAGAATACCTGTGTTATCGGCTATTCGCAAGTCGTTAGTATTAGTCGGGCGTTAACGTACAAAGATAGTTATCCTTGTCGCTCTTAATTCATGCATATATTTCTGTCTCTAACTATGTCCTCAAAATCGACACCCTTGGGCCTGTCCATTTATGGTCGAAGGAAAGAGGTTGCAAAATTAGTATGTTAGCTTTCCTCTTCAAATATCGCCATACTAAAAAATTTAACCCGTGTGTTTTTTTATGAGAAATACACGATGTCAGTGTTTTTTAAATGCAAATAATTTAGAGTCGGACTAGCTCCAATCGAATATGTGTCATCTAAGAAATAATTGCAAACCAAATTGTGTTATTCTAAAAGGCAGTACTTAATATTCATTATCCATCCATACGTTATTTGTTGTTATATGCCTACAACACATTTGTATTTTTACCAATTTTGTTCTCGATCTGTCTTTAATTTTTTAATAGGACTATAATAATATTTATTAACTTCGAAATAGAAATGTCATAATCCAATATATTGCAGTATGGCGCAGATGATCTTGATGTAATTTGTTAATTTATTTTACTGATTGTAGACATAGATTGTATTGTAGATTTATGCAGATTCCTGTAATCATAGGAACGACTTGCACAAGTCGATATAGTACTAATAGTACTATCTAATGGCGCCTTAAATAACCAGTCTTCCTCGTTGATACGTAAATACTGTTAAACAATTAACGGCCCGTATGTGCCGAAGTATGACTCCCCCACGGTTAAAATCTGTCTGTTCACAAGGGTACTCCCATCCTACACTTGTGAATTATTTCTGTAATTTTGATACTGTGACATTGTGTCATTTTGACTAAGGTAAGGTATCTTTAATGTCACTCTGGGTAGTTACAGATAATAATAGTATGTTACAGACTGTGCGGCAGTCGGCATCGAAAATTATTACGTATTGGTATTCAGCAGTTGCTTACGAGAATCACTTAGAGGCCTGCGAATGCACGTAGGTAATCCCTTTATGCGTAGTTACTCTCAAACAAACTTGCTTTCGAAACATAGCAGCACACAGCAGACCGAATGGTTTTATCCGCTTAATAATTATGGAATGCCAATAGCTATTTTCCATATTTATTAATGATTGTTTTTACAACAACATTCTATCTATTTATAGAAAATATGCTAATTAGTTTTTAGGGAATATGCATGTCTTTTTTTTTATAACGTTTCTACTAGTTATTACATTACTAAAAATAAATATAACACACCCGAAATATAAACCATTGATCTAAGAAAAACATTTACAAAAAAATTACAAAAATTTACCATTGCCGGGCGATTTAAACGCGGCGATTTTGGCACGCTTATTCTGTGACGTCAGATTACTGAGAATTTCATGTCAACTAGGAAGTGTTCGGATCTCAAAGTTAAAAAGTGAGTGATAAAATCAACTTATTACCATGGAAAAGCACAGAAAAGTTTATTATAAATATTGTGCATTTCCTACGTGCCAAAATAATATCAAAACTGCACCAGACAAAGTAAATTTCCTTATGCCAAAAAGATGCAGGTATAAGGGCAAAGTAGTGCAAGAAGAGTCAATGTATCGTGTTTTAGCTGTTTATACTGTTGTGAAGATCATTTTTACTTAGTTTTCTGCACATATATTTTTTACAAACTTCGACGAAAACAACCTAGTTTACGAAGAGTTCGTAAGTAAAGATTTATTTATTTATTATTGTTATTCTTTCACAATACATTTTATAGCTATGTTTTATTCTTAAGAATTATATAAGTATGTATATAATAAGTGTATGTGTATAATAAGTCACAAAACTGAAAACATATACCTACTTAACTTATTCGAGCAAGAGGGAAGTTCTAAACTATTTTTATTTACCTTTCTAATTTTATTTCTGGGTTTTAGATTAAAAAGAATTATATGTATTAAACAATTTATGATCATCATAAACACGTCTATTTAGGAAGATCATCTGATTGTATTTTGACAAAACCGTTTCAGTCATTGTGTCAAGTCTTCACAAAGATTTAATACTTTAAAACAAAACGAATCACGTAATATGAAACAACCACAAGACAATACAAAATAATCACCAAAAACCATAGAAACAACTTGTTGACAGTGAAATTTGACGTCACGTTTTGTTCTGCCAATAGAGTTGCGTTTTAGAAATTTTCGAGGGAATTAAAAAAAAACATTTTTCGATAATAAAATTTTACTATTAAATTATGATAAATTTCAAAAATAATTATATAGGTATCCTTTTTTAGCAAAAAAGTTTACAAATAAAAATATTGCATACATCATGCACGTGCATATTCCCTATTATACTACACTACTATATTATACTATTATTAATTTCAAATTGTATTTTTTTGCCAGCCAAATTAATAATTTTAAATAACTTTGTGAGGATAGTTTTCCTATTGTTACATAAACAGGTGGGACAAGCAGTTTGAAGCAGCTTGTCGTTTTAAAACATGAGCTGACTAGTCCATTTGAAGAGTTGCATTTTAGTCAAACATCAACTTTGCAATTAAAGATGAAAAATTACATAGTTTAACTGATATTGTTAACACGTCACGTTACACGTCGTGGTCTATATTTTTAAGAGTTACCTCCTAGGCTGTGGTATTTGAAATTAACTTAATATGTTTATATTGTGCCAAAATGTTTACTTATTATGGAAATTATAAAATACGTTTTCAATCAAATTCAATAGTAAACTGACAACCGTTTATTATACTTTATTATCACTTTATTTTTGGATGTACGTTTTACAATGGTTACATATACATTCCCCAGGAATATTGTTTATAAAACAGTCATCATTATTCCATTTTGTGTTTAGTTAAATGTTTACTGATCCCTACAAAGTAGGTAATTTTTATTTGTTAAGTATTGATTGTTAAATTGTGAGATATTAATTTACAATTAGGATTTTTTCGTTACGAAAAGATATCAAAATATGAAATTATTTCTCAGTAGCGATATGTGAGTGCAAGAACCATTTCACACTGGCATTAGCTATGTAACCTGCCTACTCCAGTATCGAACTCGTTTTTTATTTTAGTTAACTTGTTTAAACATCTGAAGTTTTAGCTAATTAATCTAATATATGACTATGAATAAATAATGAATATCTCAGGTAGTGTGAAGTCGAAATCTTGTTTATGCTTAGAAATTGTAACGTGGCAGACTGCCCTTCTAAGTGCCACTTGATCATCTTCGTTTGTTATTCGATATTTTTTCTTCTACCACCACTAAAGTAACCTTGTTGTTCCATTATACGTGCAACACTACACGCTTTCAGTTTGTATTGAGTAGTTACATAATTATGTTCAATTGATATTAGTGTTTCTGGTATTAGTTAGAGAGCTCATGCTTAGGAAAAGACACAAATTGTAAATTTCATGATAATCGATATAGTGCAATTTGTATATGTTTTGTACGAGATACAGAAGTCTACATGAAACGTATTTTTTTATTTGTTTGTTTATTATTTGTCACAATTTTTAACGTTTCGACACCTGTTTAATTCGTTTATAACTAATTGTAGTTTATTGTAATGCTTGTATACTTAAAAGGTATATTTTTTTAAGAGATAAAAATATATTGTTTTTGACATTTGAAATTAGACTTGGGTATAAATTTTTTTTATTGGTTGTGTGTGATAAAATCATGGAAACTTTATATTTTGTAAAATCGAAGAAAAATTGTGAATATGTAACGATTTATATGTTAATATATATTGGATATATTTTCATGTTCAATTATACTGTACTTTATTATACCTAATACTTTTATTGTAATTCAATAGCAACTATACACCGTATGTATACTTTTTAGGCTTCAATATAAACATTACTGTCGTTGTATACATAACCATTGTTTTTTTTTTCTACCACCTGGAATAATTCTGCACTAGGAAAATGTCACCACTCCGTATGAATATATGTAGGTACCTACGTGTTGGGGAAAAAAACACCACAATGTGATTTTCTGACGAGAACATTTTTCAAATAAATGTTAATGTAAAACTAATATGTATAAGATTTTTATTTCTTTAAAACGAAAGTTTCTGAATAAATGAACAATAGGTATGTATCAGTTGACAATTAAATTGGTTCAGAAAACAGCCATGTTACACTTGCGCGAACAAATTTTGAATTTGGTCCACACGTGTTGTGTGTGGCTCAATAATTTTGAAAATTAAATTTATTGAGGTTTCACTGACAATGGCTTGGGTTTACGATTTTTACAAGAAGGGCATCAATAAACTGCCAACGCGTTGGCAAAGATGCGTCGATTGCATGGGTGATTACTTCGAATAACTGAAATAAAAAAGTTTGAAAAAATAAGTACTTTCACTTATTGCCTACAAAACGGCAATTTCATAGGTAAAGACCTATTATATGTATTATAGGTATTATATATTATATACTATATATATAAGGTCGCAGTCGTGGTACTGGCGAAATGAAGAATGTAGCTGTCGTTGACGTATCGTCGCATAGGTATCTATCGGCATCGGTTTCGTTCGGGAAGGGTCGTCCAATGAAGAAACATGAATGTAATTTTTATTGAGAGATATAATATATACCTAATAAGTGGCCAGGTACCTTTAATTAAGTAGGTATTTTTAACGTTTTACTGTAAAGTACTTTTTAAGTACAATAATTTTAAAGTAATAAATAGTTTAATATTTCAAAACAAAGGTTTTATTATTCATAGCTTAATAAAAGCCTAATGCTCATAATATTATTAAGTATTTAAATATTTTATCTCTGATATAAGATTGGGTAAGGGTAGTGTTTTTTGCCATTTATTGTAGCATATTTCAAGCAATAGATTCTTGTAGCATATTAGCAATGAATTATGTAGCAATTATTGTAGCATATATACACTTACAATACCTATGTTTAAGTATTTTACTAAAGCTACGATAATTTTAACGGATATGTACATATATTCTTATTTCGGCAACATTTTTATTATTCTAAACGTAAATTAGAGCTTAACATTTTAATTTGTATTTTTGGTTTGTGTATTTGTTGTTTCCATATTTTAAAAAAAAATTTTTTTATTTTATTATGAATAAATTGATATACTCTAATCTAGTAATTTAAAACATATATTTAATTAAGAATTCATCTCTCTCTCACATTTCTATGGACTTATACTATAATGTAATTTTTCGTAAACTCTGCGATCTAGCTCTTAGACTATAGGTACCTACCTTAAAAATTGAGCTCATTATATCTCAAAAACTAAGACCAGACTAAATCTCGTGACTTATCGACAAATTCCGACTAAATGTGGAAGAATACAGATCTTCGCTAGGTGCCCTTTTTTTGAGATGTAAACGTGGCTAACCTGGGGAGATTATCTCCAGCAGGGCCACCTATAAACGATTAGGTACAACATTTGAACCGGTGACCGACAAATTCTGATATTTGGCGACTGATTTCAACCAATTAGCGACTAAATTTGGGAACAAACAGATCTTCTCTATATGCCCTAGTTCTTTAGATATAAACGTGGTCAAGTTGGGGGGACTGACCTCAGCAGGACAACCTATAAACTCTAACTTTTGAACCAGTGACCGACAAATTCTGATATTTGGCGACATCGCGACTAAAAATCCATGATAGTGGCCAAGCCAGTTTCAGTGACACTTTATTAACGTTGTTTTCTTAATATTATATTTTTATTGATAAGGTTATTTTGTAGCAAGTTTTGTTGTTTCTTAACACAAAAAACAACTCGTAGTTTAAATATAGTAAAAAATTTAAAAAAAAATATCCTTAATATATGAAATGAGGTAAAAGCTAGGGACAATTTTTGGATTTATAGTCCTATGAAATAAAATTGAGACGCTATTTACCACAAATATACGAATTTCAATATTCATTAGTTTTTTGTTTTTCGATGACAAACAACATCATCAGCAGCCTTTAATAGTCCACTGCTGGACATAGGCCTATCCTTAGTAAGGAGGTTATGGCCTACTATACCATGCTGGCCAGACGGGTTGGTATAGGATTTGTGTCAAGTTTCCCTTCTCTTCGCAGTGTTTTTGTCTTGCGTAGTTTGCTCCCTTAGTCACCCACAGGATGAATGGGGGTGGTGACATTCCGTATTATTAATCCTCACCACACGAATATCTGAAAGTGTAAATAGCATTGCGCGCTAGTTCGCTTGCCGTTTAAAATTGAGCAGACGAGGGTTCGTTACATCCCGGTACATCACATACACCAGAGATTAATTACAAAAAAATTACAAGTCCAAGACGTTGTCAATTTAAAATAAAAACAGTTCAGATTGAAATTTTGCTTTATTTTTACAATTATTTTCACAAATACAACACAATTACAACACTTGCGACTGTGAAGTTTTTCTTTAATAGAAATCAACTGGCAATAGTCTGTACACTGGTATGCTATCACCTATTTATCTGGATAAATAGTAGTAGATAGCTACCGACTTTTAGGTAGTTTTATATCACTTTGATTGGTGTCTCATAACATTATTGCCCAACGTACACTATAGCTTTCTTGCAGACATCTTTATGCCAACCTAGAAGAGAACACCAATCTGACATGGCTTACAACGTTGGCTTCTTTTATTATTTGATAACTAATAAACTGTTACATGATTGAGGACATTGATAATATAATTATAGAAAAGGCAAACACATTTTGGTGCAACGTCTTATCTAAAAAATTCTAAACTTTATGAACATGCTTTAAAATCTTTTCTGGTTTTATATTAATTAAATGTGATAAATATTTATTCACTATAAACAATTAAAACGAAGAATGTGCCATTATCTTTACTAAACTCACTAAATTTCGTGAAAACAAACATAATAATCAATTAGAGATTCCAACAGCATGATTAGCTTATTTGATTGTTTACTCTATTTCTAGAGCTTATAACGCGTATATACTAGCGTCGCCTCTAATTCAAAAGGCAATTACATCATTCGGTTATTTTAATTTTTGCGCGGAGCATGAGGCTTTGTCCAGCTGGCTCGATAAGTATAGTCGACGGTCCCTGCATCCAAGGTTCACCATCTACTTGCATTGCACAGGATCCTTCTAATTCAATCTGAGAAAAAAAGGTTATATTTCCTGAGGTACTAAAAGAACTACGAAATATGAATGGGCTTGTGGCTCCTGAGTGAACCCATGAACGCCTGTATCATGGGCGCTTTCCATCAGGTTGCCCGTCTGCTCGTTTGCCACCTCTTCCATAAAAATAAAAAAAATTGCGGTGGATACTGGGCACTTATGAAAATGTAATTAGTCAACGACCGTGATTAACAATTGATTGACCTTTAGAATACCACGGTCGTTCGCAGCAGCGTTCAACTAAAAATGATTATGATTGTCAAGAGGAAGCAATGGCCAATATGCCATAACCTGTGTGCTGGTAAACCATACAATTTAAATTTAAGTCCATCAAGTTTATGGTTGAGGGATCGGAACTCTATGAATGATGCAAATGAAATTGTATCAGCGTCAATCGAATGTGAAAATTGTACTATTACTAAACAGTTTCTAAGTGAAAATGAAATGAAAATCCTGTTTCTCAAGAGAAAAAAAATCATTCCATCATTTATATTATTTTAGGCTTTCTATCAATCGATCTATTTAATTAAATAGTTATTTTAATTTTTTTAAACATACATGACAACTCGCGAATTATTTACCTTTAGACTTGAAGCCTGAGCGAAACGATAAGGTTCTGCTAATCCACACTGCAGTCTGGCTATATGGAATGACGAAGAAATGCCCACCACCTTGAATACACAAATCTTTTATTTTCAACATCTTAATACATAATTTGAAATTAATTGTTTTTACGGCTTACCTCAAGTTTGCCATCATTTATACTTTGTTCTGCTACGTCGTCTTCAGTCCCCATGCCTTAAATTAGAATCACGACAATTATTCATTTTAATCCTAGTATAAGTTTTTACAATTTAAGTAAAGTATCAAGGTATCGATAAAGTATAAGTATCATTATATGAAGAATTTGTTCAAACCCCACGTAAAAATAAAATATAATAATAAATAAGTCGTGATCGTTTTTAGGTACCAGGATATCAATTTCTGAGAAACGTGTCCCGCATGGCAGTGTGATCGGACCTAGGCTGTCTAACTACTACAGGACTGGGCTCCTGCGCCGGACAGGCCTGTCGACGTCGATGCTGAGGCACAGTGGTTCCGGGAGGCCATGACCCGCGTCTGCGATGCGGCGATGCCTAGGGCTCAGCCCAATACTGCGAGGCGCCAGGTCTACTGGTGGTCGCCGGAGATCGCACGGCTGCGTCAAGCCTGCGTGACCGCGCGCCGCCAGTGGTCCATGTTCCGCAGGAGGCATCGCCGCCCCGAAGATGCGGCAGCGAGAGAGGCGGAGCTGTTAGCGGGCTACAGGGTTGCCAAGAGGACCCTTCAGGCAGCGATAAACCGGGCCAAGAGCGAGGTCCGCCGCGAGATGCTGGAGACGCTGGAGCGGGATCCGTGGGGACGCCCCTACCGTATGGTTAGGGGCAAGATGCGCCCATGGGCCCCGCCACTCACCCGGTGTCTTCAGCCAGAGCTGCTTGAGAGGGTCGTTGGCTCCCTGTTCCCAACGCGAGTGGTAGACCATACTCCGCCACAGATGGCTCCGCCTCCGGCGCTTGAGGCGCCTAACGTGGATGACGACGACGTGCCTGAGGTCACTGGGGTGGAACTAAGGGTGGCGGTGTTACGGCTTAAAGCTAAAAACACCGCCCCGGGACCCGATGGCATTCCTGGCCGAGCGTGGGTCCTGGCCTTAGTCGACGAGGCTCTCGAGCCCCGACTGCGAGGGTTCTTCAGCGCATGCCTCGAGCGGGGCCAGTTTCCGAAATTGTGGAAGACGGGGAAACTGGTCCTCATCCGAAAGGAGGGGCGCCCGGCGGACTCACCGTCCGCCTACCGGCCCATAGTGTTGCTTGACGAGGTGTGCAAGCTCTTTGAAAGAGTGATTGCAAGGCGCCTCGTCAGGCAACTAGTGATGGTTGGGCCGGATCTGGCGGACAGCCAGTACGGTTTCCGTCAGGGGCGCTCCACCGTGGATGCGATCATGCGCGCGGCTCTGGCGGAGGAAGCAGTCTCCCGGGGCGAAGTGGTGTTGGCGGTGTCCTTGGACATCGCCAACGCGTTCAACACTGTGCCCTGGAGCTGCATCAGGGAGGCGCTCGTGTATCACGAAGTGCCTCTCTACCTCCGCCACATAGTCGGGGCATATTTGTCGGAGAGAGCCGTCGTCTATCCCAGTAGGACCGGTCTCGGTAGGCGTGAAATGTCGTGCGGTGTTCCGCAGGGGTCGATGTTAGGGCCACTCTTGTGGAACATCGGCTACGACTGGGTGCTTCGTGGTGCCTTCTTGGATGGTGTCGCCGTCGTGTGCTACGCGGACGACACACTCGTGACGGCGCGCGGCAAGACGCACCACGAGGCAACCCTTGAGGGCCACGGCCGGGGTTGCCCAAGTCGTTGAGCGTATCCGGCGGCTGGGTCTCGAGGTGGCTCTGCACAAGTCCGAGGGCCTGTTCTTCCACGGGATTCGGAGGAAGCCGCCTGAGGGATCTAGCCTCACGGTAGGAGGCACTCGCATCGGCATCGAGCCGATGCGAGTGCCTCCTACCGTGCATCTGGGGCTCGTACTTGATGGCCGATGGGACTTCAGATACCATTTCCGAGGTCTGGTCCCCAAGTTGGTTGGGGCAGCGCGTGCGTTGGCGCGGCTGCTGCCCAACATGAAGGGACCCGATGACTCCTGCAGGAGACTCTACTCGGGGGTTGTGCGGTCCATGGCCCTTTACGGGTGCCCAGTATGGGCGGGGGCCCTGAAGGCCAGCAACGTCGCGATACTGCGACGACCGCAGCGAGTGCTGGCCATCAGGATCATAAGGGGGTACCGCACGATCTCCTTTGAGGCGGCGAGTCTCCTGACCGGAACTCCACCGTGGGACCTGGAGGCCAGAGCCCTTGCGGCTCTGTATAAGTGGCGCAAGGAGGCGCGGGAGTTGGGTCGGTGTCCCGAGACTCGAGAAATCGATGACCGGAAATCCCAACTCCGCCAGGTCATCATAGGGGAGTGGAAGGAACGACTCGGGCAACCGAGCGCCGGGCACGCCGTCATCGCGGCGGTAAGACCCGTTATGGAGGATTGGCTCGAGAGGCGTCACGGGACCCTCTCATACCGACTGACGCAGGTGATCACTGGGAAAGGATGTTTCGGGGATCACCTGTGTCTGATCCGCAAGGAGCCAACGCCTGAGTGCCACCACTGCGATGGCCAGACCGTGGACACGGCTCTCCACACGCTGGCAGAGTGCCCGGCGTGGGGTGAGCAGAGGCGAGACCTCGTGGCGGCCATCGGAGTGGGAGTTCTCTCGCTCGATAGCCTGATTGCGGCTATCGTGCGGAGCGAGAGTGCGTGGAACTCTGCCGCAACGCGCTCGCCGCCACCCCGGCCTGCTTCTGCTAGGGTGACAGATGGCCTCACCTGTCACCCCTAGGCCTGCGCTTATGGAGGACGGAGGTCGTTCTGCGACCTCCGACGCCTGAGTCGCCTGCGGTACCTAGCCCGTTCCCGTACCCTGGGTTTACCATGAATCTGAACAAATTACATTTTTAACTAGTAGGTACAAATGGGAGTGAGACAACACGCTCTTATAACTTACTCCACAAGTCTACGCCAGCCCCCCAAGAGGGAATGTTGAGAGCGACGAGCGCTTGCATGGGCGGCAGGGTGAGCGGGTCGGCTGCAGCGCCGAGCCACACGTGGAGGCGTCGCTCGAGGCCTCCGCACCCGCCGTCGTCTAACGCACGACCAACGCCCAGGAAGGCATATGCTATCTAATGGCATCTTATTCAATATTCATTTTAAGAATAACAAATCTACTAAGGTTCTAAAAAAGCGAGGTCCTATTCGGCCCTTATTTAGTTACCATAAATAGCTAACTGAATTTTAAACCGTGCTGAAAGGACGTCACTAAAAACTAGTCAATCGTAAGAGTTACTAAATTGATTGATAGCCTGCAATGGTTCGTCACTTGCATACAAAAATCAATTAGGTCCCTATTATTATAGGGCTGATTAAAAAACAATAGGTCTGTCCGGGTTATAAAACATACTTACATAATTAAGCGTCCGACTAGCGTAACGATATAAAAACTGTGATCTGGCGTAGTGGAAATCGAGGGCGACTTGTGCGTCAACTCCAATACTCGCGTAATTGTATGCATATAGCACACGCTGCTGTCGTAACCGACCCAGCCGTCTGCGTTTTGGAGTTATAGTCACCTTCCATCTACAGACAAGAAGTGTTCGAATTAGTACAAGTACAAACAAGTATAACAAAACAAAAATAATTTATCGATGTTCTAAACCCTAGTGTCTATCTATGATCTTTTTATGATTTCAAATGTGGCCCTAAACCAGACGAGTTATTTCATCGACTTTAAGTGGCATTTATGGATGAAAGCCCTTCTAAAGAAACCATCTACCGTTGGAATAACGAATTCAAGCGCGGTCGTTTATCTTTGGGAATAAAGAAAGAAATGGTCGTCCTTGGTCGGCTCTTACGTTCACAAGATTCTACACGAGCACCTTCGCGTGAGAAGGATAGTTTCGGGCTGGGTACCGCACAACCTCACTGAAGCTCAGAAGCTGGCCTGTGTAGAATGGTGCTGTGGTATGATTAATAAATTTGAAGCCGGCTGGTCTCTAAGCGTTTACGCCATATGGCGAATCCTGAATTTATCAATACGATCCAGAAACAAGGCGTCAGTCGACAATTTGGCTGTTTTAATAGAACCAACGCCTAACAAATTAAAGCGGTCGAGAAGCGCAAGTAAAATTTTTTATAGCTATTTTTATTACTTTGCCGAGGTATCTGGTGTCGATTTCATCACAAAATCAAAGCAGAGTTAACGCCGAATGGTATACTACGAAATGCCTGCTAGAAGTTTTCACTGCAATGAGCAACAAGTGAACTAATACTAAACAGGTTATTGCTTCGCCTGCGAACTCATCACTCAAAACACCCTCCTTACAGCCCTGATCTGACACCGTGTTTCTTTTTTTTATTCTCTCAAATAAAAAAAATACTGAAAGGCATACAATTTTCGTCGCGGGAAGATGTGCTAACAGCATTCGAGAAGACCATAGAAGAGGTGTCTGTGGCGGACTGGAAAAAGTGTTTCGAAAACTGGTTTAGACGCATGAAACGTTGTATAGAGGCTGGTGGAGAGTACTTTTAAAAGATTTAAGAAAAGTATTATATCAATATAAGTTGGTTTTTAGTTTCTCAAAACTTTCTGAGTGCCCCACGTAGATAAAATTTATTTTATTAATGATGACATTTAATGAGACGATAGTTTAGTCGCTATCGTGTGATGACAGTTATCACTGATTCCGGATGGAGCGCGTACTACAACGTACGCGATTTGTTAAAAAATATAATATATATTCGCACATAACGGGCTGGTTTGCTCGGAGTGATACCACGGCCTCACAGAAACAGGCCGGTTTTAAGCTATTTTTTTTTCATCTTCAGCTTCACTTTTCATCGAGTGAGTTAGGTAAGCGGTGGTCCAACTCTGTATATTTCTATCGTAGAGTCAATAATAAAAAAATTGCTACACGGCTACGAGCTGTCGTTCCTTTCTAAGTAGGAGAGATTAAACGTGACTTAAGGTATTTAATTTACGAGTATATTGTATTAAGGTATTATTCTTACAAGCAACATTTTTACTCTTTTATACATAAATAAATATCCACAACAAGCTACATATGAACCTTGGCAAAATATTACACTAGTAAGTTACTGATGTTTATATTTACAGAAAGTACTACTGGTAAATATAAAAAAATAAAGTAAAATCAAACGTAAATATAAAAATATTCAAAATTTTGCTACTAAGTCGAATACTAAACATCATTGAATTCTTCATCATTTAATCAACGGATAAAAGATTCTGAATATTTCTTATGGTATCTAATTGTGATAAGTTACCTGTCAAGACACTGAAGGTGGGCCTGTTTCACAGAACTGATAATACTATGTGCATCCAACTGCGAATTGCCGCCTGTACCCCATCCCAGAACGCGGGACAAGTCATTGCCTGTCCCCATAGGCAGAATTGCAACCGCCGCCTAAACAACATAATTATTCATAGAGACCTCAAAAAAATAATTACATCACAGTACCTACCTGTTTCGGTAAATTGCTAAACTGTTTTCTTATAATTGTTAAGTTAGCCATCCGCAAGTTTCTAATTACTTAAATTGTAGATTACTAGGTAAAATTGATCAGCGAAGCAGTCAATTAATAGAATGGCTTTTTAGAAAGTGAACCTTAATGCTCGTATTATAATCAAGCAGCTAATGTAGGATAATATCACATTAACGTGGTTCGCGTAGCATAGTCCTGTTGTTTCTTAGAAAATGTTGTGTGCAGAAAGCATTTTAATCAAAGTCCCAAGGATTATGACTAATTTACTAAGCCCTTTTTTATTACAAAGGGATAGAAAACGCTGGGGTTCATAGGAAATATCTAGATTAAAATATTTTTTTCCACTTTATGCTGAATTAAGGTTCTTGTTCTACTAAAGTACCACTGGGGACAAGGACTATTCGAGTGACCGATAAAGTTGTAGAAAACCCATTTGATCCAGTTTGTTTTATTTATCCCTTTAATATTGGTCAAGTAAAAATTAAAAGTCATGGTGATGGAATAACGTTAAAAACTGTAGATTTTTCAACAATTTAGGTCCTTACCTTAACGTGAGGAAAAGATAGCAGTGTATTCAACACCCACGCAACAGTACCATCTCCTCCGGCGACTAAAACACGGCATTTGGTGGGCAACCATCGCACCACTTTCTCAGGTGACGTCGAACTTATATCCACGACCTAATAAAGATATTTGATGAACAATTACAATTAGAATTTATTTCTGTCTAAGTTACTAGCATGCAAACAAAATAAATAATGACATGAAAATGGGCTACCGACCGATGCTAAGTTTCTGTTAATAAGCACAGATTTCATTAAAGGCTATTATTAACTTAAATCACTTCTCATAGTCTAATCCATCCCACTACGTATATTGATATTTGTGTTTTGATATAGCGATCCGATAAATTGACGTAGGTAACGCAAACAATCGTTCTTTGTAACATGTCATTTCGGAGGGGTCCCATAAGGTGTTAAGAATGGTCACCTATCCATACACTGACCTGGCTAGGATAACTAATGCTCGATTACCACTTACCGCGAGCCCCTCATCGCTCAAACTAACAGTGATAAAAATATATTGATTTACTTGAATATATGATTTTCAATTTAGTTATTTACTGTACAATATCATGGGTACAAGTGATCCACTGAGACATGCTTTCTTTGCAAGTGGCCCTTGAATGATGCCCTTTAGCCGTACGATATAGAGCGCATTTCGTAGTGTAACTGTTACCTACACTTGAAGGGTGGCATACGGCCACTTTTATTTAAACATTAAATTATTAGTATTCAGTACTTCCTGATGTGTAATAAATATGTAATAATCATATACATTAAACTAATTATGGTCTCATATTAAACGTCTCGCTTTGTTAAACGACTCTAGTTCTTTACTTAAAAGACTCGCGACTAAGCCTTGAACCGCTTTGACGACTGGATGGCGTAGTGGTTTGTGTAACGGACTGCTATTCCAAAGGTCGCGGGTTCGATTCCCGCTCAAGTCAAAAATTTGTGTGCATGAACATTTGATGTTTGATTTGGTCTGGGTGTTTCTATGTATAATATGTATGTATTTACAAAAAAAAAGTATATATGTATTTATGTCAGTTGTCTAGTACCCATAGTACAAGCTCTGCTTAGTTTGGGACTAGATGGCGTTGTGTGTATGTGGTAGAATATATTATTATTATTGTTTTATTGATTCGAGTCTTCTTTAATGACTCGAGTTCTTTCACAAGCCTCAATTCGTAATTTTGGAGTCGAGTCTTTAGAATCGAGGCTAGTCTTAATTATAAAAGTTTATTAGCCTCGAGTCCCTTCATCACTATATGGAGCTTCCGTATGAACTCGTGTTTAAAACTGCTTAAAGAACGAAGTGAGACTTAAGGAAGCATAAAGAACGTAAAAGAGCATACAAGAACACGTGCGTGTGCAATCGAATACTTTATGTGCGTACACCCGTAACAGACTCGATTAAGTATCAACCACGAAACAAATTCTACAACAAGCGCTGCTCTTCAGCTGACGGCTTGCGTGGGAAGATTGCACAATATATTACTATTGTTGAAAGGTGTAACTTCTATATGGATTAAATTAAGTTTGTTAGTCTGGTAGTTTCATAGACACAATCTCTTACTCCAATTTCAGCAAGTAAGGTACTAGACACAGCTCAATTGAAATAACAAAGTAGCGCATTTTTATTACGCTACGAGCGCCCACCGCTCGCACCTCTACCAGTCTCCGTTTTGGTCTTACCTCCGCACCTCTGTACCCCGCAGCCGAGGACTCAATCAAGCGGTTAATCTATATTTAATCTTGTTTTATAGTTATTTAATGTGAATGTAGACAGTATCACACTAATAATATAAAGGCTAAAATTTATGAGTGTGTGTGATTGTATGTTTGTTTCTTCTTTACACTTAAAACTCAAGACAAATTTTAATATAATTTGAAAATGGAGGGAGGTTGGAAAAAATGTTTCTGTGGGATGAGCAAAGGATTAACAAACCCACAAAGCAAGTAACACATAAAAGAAAAGTATGAAATGTTGTAAAAAATTGTATGAATGGCTTACAATCACTATACTTTTACCAAGTACAGGTACTTGGCGAAAGTGTATTCTACAGTCTATATCACCACCTGAGTTATATTTTAAATTTTCCCCTTTGTCTTGAGCTGGTTAATTGTGTTTTTTTTTGGCATAGGGGGGCAAACAAGCAGACGGGTCACATAATAGTGTCCCCCTTTCCAGAATCAGGAGGAGGGAGGGGTTGTGTTTTCCATTATTAATAAAACTTATTGATACTTACTTGGATAGGATTAAGTAGACCTCTAAACAAGGAAAGTACTTCATCACTCCTATTACTGCCAGATTTAGGATTAGCTGAAAGATTAAAATTAAATGAAATGTATGAAATCTAAATGTCTACTGATGACTAACTCACATTCCTCTAAACATGAACATACCTAAGATTATGAGGGGTTCCCAATCATTATCCCCTGGATGTTTTATTGTTACCATTCCTTTTTCAAACTGTACACATGCAGGAGGAATTATAATGCTTCTGTATTTTTCAAAATCGCATATCTGTAAGAAATGTACATTAGTTTAGTGAAAGGGTTTATAAAACAAGATTATTTAAATTTCAGATCAAACTTATTAAATTACTTAAAAATTACTTAATAACTTAAAAATTAAATTAAAACACAAAATTGGAATGATAATTTAAATTTAAAGGATGTCAGTAGTACCTCTGCATCAGCCACCGGTGTGTCAGTTAACAGTTTAGTCTTTTGACACCAAGTGCAATAATATCTCTTCAGTAAATCTTCATTCTGATCCACATTTTCACTTTGTACAGTACCCACTGTAGATATAAATATATTAAAAGGAATAACAATTTATTGTTATTATGAATTATTTTTTATTATTAATCTTTGCAAACTATCTGAACTTAAACTGGTTTGGAATTTTAAACTAAATATTATTATCTGAACAAAAAATATTGTTTTTAATATTAAAAATAGCCCTGTTGTTAATTGTATCTGGGATAAATAAAAAGTGCTGCATACCATTAACCCAGTGGTGATAAAATGGTTTTCCTTCTGGGGAAGTAATCTGTTTACATCGAAATTGTCTGTCAACAATTCTGTGACATAATTTACAGGCACTCACAGCACAGCATTCACAGAATAGTCCCATCATTGGCAACATCAGCTCACCACAACTTGTACACTAAAATTATTTAATCTTGTTCAGTTAGGAGCAAGAAATGTTTAAATGTAAGGAACCAACTATACTCACGTCTATGTTATAAGGGATAGATTTATTGCATTGAATACTTCTCCATGTATGGCCTCGAACTCTATATTTAGTTTGCATATAATTATTACCAGGAAACAGAGTAATAACAATACGATATATTAAATAAATTAAAAACACAGCTCCAATTATGAAGTAGTGATTAAAGAAAACGTCATTCAAATAGAAAAAGGTTTCCATTCTTAATATAATACGAGCAATTTACAATTCAAACCAAACTTAGTATTTTAAATTATAAAAACTCAAAAAATCAATAGTTGTACTCCATTGTTTACTATTCAATATTTGACATTTTCGAAATATAGTTACAGTTTGTCTAAAAGGGTGCGCGCACGGATGACTTTGTTACCGTACTCACAGTGACTGTTTGTTTTGTCCATAGAGATATAACCCAGAGCCCCAAACTTGTAAAAAACACAACGAAAGAGATGGGTAATAGTTAGAACCCTCTATTTCTTTCTAGTCGAGCTCTGTGGTTTGCGGGTGAATATGAGAAGTTAATAAGTAGCCAATCGCAGCTTAGCTAAACGGAGATAAATAGCGGGCATAAATCACTCTCGTTTCCTGTATCGCTTCCACTTACAGGCAGCTGTACCCCGTGTTCTCTCTATAGTTTAACCTCTATGGTTTTGTGACAATTTTTAAAGCCCTATGACGTTTAGGGTCGGTCTCGCAGTCTGTCTCTGTGCAGTTCTCGGCTGAGACAGACTGAGACTGAGACGCCCCTCTAAATGAAAAACGTGCAAAGAAATGTAGTTGTGCGGACAGGCCCTTAAATGTCAAAAAAGTTTTGTCACTGTCACTCTTTGTGCGTGCACTCCACTTTGGAGATGTGACGTGACACGACAGTGACAAATCTTTTTTGTCACCGTGACAAAAGTCACCGAGCGTCCATCCCCGTGTAACTTACTAGGGGGCGCTGCAGTAAACATTTGTTTGATGCCATTCATGTCCCAAATTACTTGTACGATTTTGATGCGGTTTTCAGTAATGGGTTCTTGGTTGATTAGTGATGGTTCTTAGATAGGTGTTGAGAAGGTACCTTATTTGGGGGCGCTGCGGTAAACATTTTTCCGCCTTAAAAATGAGTTTTTGCTCGTTTTTGTCGAGTTAGATCGTCTTGTCAGTTTGAAACTTTGCAGTTATATGTGGTTTACATCTCAATACTTTAAATTGGCAACTTTTGTTATGATTGATGTTATTATCTGTGGCGAATATGGCAACACGGCCAAAAGAGGAAGAGAAGAAGGCGGAAAAGAAAGGCGGGCGAGACGACACACATTTGTAAAATTTATACTTTGTAAAATAAAACAAAATGGTCAACTTTTGGTTTTCATTATATTAAAACATGGTGGCAGCGGAAAACGAAAAATTTCAAGCAAAGAACACAGTAAAAGACTCATTTCGGACAAGTTGGTGGAACACGTGGCGTGTGACTGCGTGACTACTACAAGACAAGATGGACTTCGTGAAACCGTTTGCGTCTTTCCCATTTGATAATGAGAATCTGGCGGACGCATGGAAAAAATGGGAACAACTATTCAGAAACTTCATATTGGCTATGAAATACGACGCAGAGACGGACCAAAGAAAGATTGCAATGTTGCTTCACTGCATGGGAGAACAGGCATTAGACATTTACAACAACTTCAAAGAGACTGAAAAAACTAAATATGACATGACAATCAAGGCATTCAGTGCATATTTTATTCCCAAGAAAAATCTAGCAATTGAAAGACACAAGTTTTTTAGTCTGCACCAGGGTGACGACTCCCTTGACCTGTTTCTTACGAAGTTGAAAAAGCTTGCAAAGACGTGTGAGTTTGGAGAATTGCAGGACTCTCTCATAAGAGACATGTTTATTTGTAATATGGATAAACGACACACAGACATACGTCAAAAACTTTTGTCAGAAAACAATATAGAACTAACAAAAGTACAGTCAACCTACAAGACGATGGAAGAGTCACAGCAGAATACTACATACTTAGAAGAGAAAGAAATTAATATATCAGTGATCAAGAAAAACAACTCTGCTTACAAACAAACGAAATGCAACAAATGTGGACAAGTTCATCGCTTCAAGTGTCCGGCCATGGGGAAGAAATGCAACAAATGCAACAAAATTGGCCATTTTGCATATGTTTGCCGAACTGTAAACAGTATTGAAGTGGAGCGTACCAGTGTTCAAGGTAATATGTATCTATCATCTTATAATACAGACAATGGTTTCTTCATGGGCACAATTGACAGTAATATGTATAGGAATAGTCTGCAATATGCAAATAATTGGCTCATAGATTTAAAAATAAATAATAATTTTATCACATTTTTGTTAGATACTGGTGCTAAAGCTAATTGTATATCAATTGATGTTTTCAGAAAACTAAATTTACCTATGAATGATTTGAAATATAGTCCAGTCAATCTAATTTCATATAGTGGTGACAAAATACCCACTAAAGGTTCATGTGTACTCAAGTGTCATGTAAATAACAGATGCTATGATATAAAGTTTATGGTTACTTCAATGGCTTGTCAGCCAGTGATTGGTGCTGACACCTGTACTGAATTGGGTGTTGTGAAAAGAATTTACAGTCAAAATATTGAAAACTCACAACTTCATATGATGCTAAGTCAATATCAAAATGTATTTCAGGGTCTGGGATGTTTGCCGAACACGTGCCATTTGACAGTGAGGTCTGATGTACAACCAAAAATAGATGCTCAACGTAAAGTACCATATGCTCTTCAACTACAACTTAAAGAAGAATTGGATCGCATGACGGAGTTGGGAGTGATAGAGCCAGTGTCTAAGCCTACCTCTTGGGTTAGTTCCATAGTAATTGTAGAAAAACCCAATAAGAAGTTAAGAATATGTTTGGATCCCAGAAACTTGAATGAAGCTATTCAACGCTCTCATTACCCTTTAATGTCAATTGAAGATGTTAGATGTAGATTAAATGGAGCAAAATACTTCTCACATTTAGATGCTTATTCTGGTTTCTGGATGATCCCCCTAGATTCGAGCAGTTCTGACCTCTGTACATTCAATACATCTTATGGTAGGTACAAATACTTACGTTTACCTTATGGGCTGAACTGTTCCACAGAAATTTTCAGTAAAATACTCACAGAATCATTTTCAGACATACCAAATGTAATAATATATGTTGATGACCTATTAATATATGCTTCTGATGAGAAAAGTCATAATGAAACATTAATGAAAGTGTTACAGAGAGCCAAATCAATAAATTTAAAGTTTAACAAAGACAAATGTATTTTTGCAAAGAGAGAAATTAAATTCTTGGGTCATGTATTCAATTCTGAAGGTATGTCACCAGACTATGAACGTATTAGAGCAATTTGTGAAATGCCAAAACCAGATTGTATTAAAAGTCTACAAAGATTTCTTGGTGTTGTCAATTATTTAGGTAGCTACATTAAAAACTTGTCAGCTGAAACTGAAGTATTAAGAAATCTTCTAAAAAAAAATTCCCAATGGTTGTGGGACAAAAATCATGATATGGCCTTTAATCGACTGAAGAACTTAATTACTTCAGCTCCAGTACTACGTCATTATGACAACAAAAAAGATTTAAAATTAAGTGTAGATTCGTCCCAGTCATCATTAGGTGCAGTATTATTACAAGAAAATCGACCCATTGCATATGCTTCTAGAACATTGACAGACTGTCAAAAGAGATATGCACAGATTGAAAAAGAATTGTTTGCTATTTTGTTTGGATGTCAAAAATTTCATCATTATGTGTATGGCCATAAAGTGTTAGTGGAGACTGATCATAAACCTTTAGTCACCTTGTTCAAAAAGTCTTTAAATCAAGTACCTAGTAGATTACAAAGAATGATGTTGGCTTTACAGTTGTATGATATTAATGTAATTTATGTACCTGGTACAAAACTGTACATACCAGATACACTTTCTAGGGCTGCATTAACAGAATCTGAAGAGCATCTCATTGACAAAGCCATCACCATACATGCTAATATGTTTATAAATTCACTAGCTGTTTCAGAATCAAAATTGCAGTTAATCAAAATAGAAACTAAGAAAGACTTAAGTTTGCAAACCTTAATTAAATATTTTTATGATGGCTGGCCTGATGATAAAAGCAAGACAGATTTATCTGTAAGATCTTATTGGAGTTACAGAGCTGACATTCATTGTATTAATGATTTAGTTTTTAAAAATGATAGTCTTATAATACCTAGTTCCATGCGCAAAGAGATGTTACAACAAATTCACATATCACACTCAGGCATTTCAAGAACAAAAAACTTAGTCAGAGGCATAATATTTTGGCCATGTATGTATAAAGATATAGAGCAAATGATTGAAAATTGTCCAACTTGTTTAAAGTATAGATCGGCCAACACAAAGGAACCATTGATTCTGTCAGAAAACCCTTCTTTTCCATGGGAGAAAGTAGGAGCAGACATATTGCATTTTAACAGTAAGAAATACCTAGTCCTAGTAGATTATTATTCTAAGTACATAGAATTAGCTTATTTAAGTACTGATTCTAGAGTAAACAACATAATTTTACAATTTAAGTCCATATTTGCACGTCATGGCATTCCTTTAAAACTATGTACAGACAATGGGCCGCCATTTGATTCAAAAGATTTCAAACTGTTCTGTAAGGAATGGGACATAGAACATATTACATCCAGCCCTAATTATCCTCAATCTAATGGACAGGCAGAATCAGCTGTAAAAATTATTAAGCGAATTTTACAAAAGTCATTTGATGAAAATAAAGATCCATATTTAGCTTTATTACATTATCGTTGTAATGACAAAGAATATATGCCATCTCCTGCAGAATTGCTCATGTCGAGAAAATTAAGAACAAATCTACCTATATCCAAAACTTTGTTAAAACCAAAGAATGTCAATAACTTACCTAAAATGCAACTTACCAGGCATAAACAAGCATATAAGAAATATTATGATAGAAATGCTAAGGACTTACCTTTGTTAAAGACAAATGATAAAGTAATGTTTAAGAAAATGCCAGATAGTACTTGGGAAC